AGCTTCTAATTATTGTCGCATCAATTAAGATTTGGGTTTCTTCTGTACTGAGACAGTGGAAAGTTTGTGAGCAACCCAACCAAGATAGTTGTCAGCCGCAAGAAATGGAGAATCTGAAGGAAGCAGCTGACAACATAGGCCTCCTTCCCACTTCTGTTGGGCGTACACAGGTCCTATAGCTCCCCCATCAGGCCATCATCAGTTTGAAGCTTAATCCATGTAAAGGGAGGAATTGAAGTCTGAGGCTTAATTGATTGGTCCTGATTTATCCTCCCTTTAAAATCCATATGTGATGGAGTAATGGGACTAGGCCCGGAGCCTAATCAGCCCAAGCCCCGAACTTGGACCCATGGATCCAAGTCCACAACCTGGAGCTTGCCTACCAGCCCAGCGGGGAGCCTGCCAGTCCGGTCGACATCCTAGCCCGGAAGAGTAACGGTCAAACAATTAATGCACTATTAATTATGTATTTAATTCCGTATTAATGTTGTAATTTATTAGTCATTATTATCGGTAGCTGTTACGATTTGTATACGCCTATAAAAGGCGGGTTGTAATTCAGATTATGGGAGGCAATTTCTATATGCTATTTCTGGCAACTAAATCCCATAGCTACTTTCCATTTTCGTTCTTGCTTTCATAATTCCTGCTTGAGTGTCGTACGTAGCTTTCCTAAAAGCCTACGAGCGTCCTATTTTGGACCAACATTGGTGCTTTCATTGAGAGTCTCTATTGTCTCTCACATCGCTTGAGTAGGAATTGATCAGGAAATTTCAGAAAAAATGAGAGAATACACAAAAAATATGGAATTTACAAAATATGCTCCTGAGACGATAGCGTCGCAGCTGAAGAAGATGTCACTGCTCCAGAAGATCCAGATCTGAATTCTTCCTGAGTCGGATCTGTCACCGTCGTCCCAGCCGCCGCTGTGCGCTGAAGCGCCTACCGCTGGCTCAGTCCTTGCCAGCGATGTTGGGAGACGCTACTTGCACCTTGGTCTGCGACCTCACCAATTCTTCACTGCGTCTGGAGTCACAGAGCAACTGGAATATGGATCCCCATCGGACGGCGGTCACCGAGGCAAGAACTCAGATGCCATAGCAGCCCGCTAATCCAACTCCGTCGCGCTACCGTCAAGCCTGCCAATCTCCGGCCTAACCTACCCAGACTGACCTCTCTCACAGTCGTTGGTGAGAACTCTTCTGCTCTGTCGGTCTGTCCTCGGTTATCCAGCGAATTGAATTAGCAAGGGGGAAGTTCGGCTTCTCACAGTGAGTCGCCGTCCTCAGACTGTAGTATGGCCCTTAATTGATGTGGGTTGCTATGTTGCTCTTCCGCTAGCAGTAGCGGGACTAGGGTTGGGATGTATCAAAGATTCAAAATCATGGAATGGTGGTCCTGCACGATCCACTTCTAATAGTCCCACTTCAAAAAGAAAGCTAAGTTACTAAGTATACTAAATTACTGCTTGCGAAATATATGATTAAAAAAATCACAAATTGAATCATTGGAAAAGATATTTTAAGTGATTTATATGCTTTTACTCTTGTTAAACGTGTGTAGTTTTAACATTGGAAAACGGACTTATGACATCTGATCACTCAAGTACGCCGGACGAGCACACACACTCGTACAATGGCTGAGCACACACACTCGCGCCACCGGGTCACGTCATATGGGTGTGACGATTAATAAGCTCCAATCTAAATGTTAATACCTCACACTCTTGACTTCTTACGAGTTCTTGCGTGTGCTCTTACCTCTTCATAGTGCATCACACTCCGGCCTCGGGGGACGAGTCACCCGTTCAAAAGTTTTTACTTGCGGGTTCGAACTACTAACCTCGGGCGGCGAGTTAAACTCTTGTTAGGGGCCTAGAGCCACGCTTCCGTGCAATTTTGTCACTTAATTGACATTCACATTTCTCAAAAAGGTTGATATACTTTAGTTCTTTGGGGTTGGATTACCCGTTCGAGTGAGGAGTCCGACTCACTTACTCGCGGATTCAATCTTTCTTTCGGAGACTGGGTTGAGGTCTAACTTGGGAACTTGGTGTCACTCTTTTCAAGTGGTGAGTCCGACTCACTTACACACTGAGCCGTGGTTCGACACCGGGCCAGATGCTCTATTCTACAGTTGTTACTTTTATGTGTAGGTATGACTGAACGAAGACGAGCCTGATGAGTTCGAACCCGACGAGAAGAACAGTTCTAGCCATCCTCTTCGTAGATGGTGACCATTGCAATAAAAGACTGAGGATCTCACCTCTTGTTTCATCTTGGGGGAGTCAGATGTACTCTTTTTCCCTTCATTAGAATTTTTTCCCATCGGGGTTTTTCCTAATGAAGGTTTTTAATGAGGCATCTTCCCAACATGGACAAGGGCGGGGATCTTCTAGTCTTGGAGAAGAGCAACTGACTTGGACTACTCCCTCTTAGCCGAGTCTACTACTCAACTAAGGGAGTGGGGGACTCGTGATGGAGTAATGGGACTAGGCCCGGAGCCTAATCAGCCCAAGCCCCGAACTTGGACCCATGGATCCAAGTCCACAACCTGGAGCTTGCCTACCAGCCCAGCGGGGAGCCTGCTAGTCCGGTCGACCTCCTAGCCCGGAAAAGTAACGGTCAAACAATTAATGCACTATTAATTATGTATTTAATTCCGTATTAATGTTGTAATTAATTAGTCATTATTATCGGTAGCGGTTACGATTTGTATACGTCTATAAAAGGCGGGTTGTAATTCAGATTATGGGAGGCAATTTCTATATGCTATTTCTGGCAACTAAATCTCATAGCTACTTTCCATTTTCGTTCTTGCTTTCCTAATTCCAGCTTGAGTGTCGTACGTAGCTTTCCTAAAAGCCTACGAGCGTCCTATTTTGGACCAACAATATGTACATACAAATATTGAATAATAGCACCAGCATTTGCGTTGTGTTCAGTATGGAATTCACCTTGAACCTAGCTAACTGTATTTTGAGAGTTGGAGCCACTAACAAGTTCATCATCCTGCCAGGATTTTAGAGAGTTGCAGTTCCTAAGCTTGATTCCAGCCGGCCATATTCTTTTTCACCATGCATCCCAATCTCCTTACCCGTTTATGTCACACTCATCATCATCATCATCACTCCAGTGCCGCAAAGGCTTTCCACATACGGTGGAGTAAAGATGGGGCCGGATGTAAGCAACCTTACCCTTGTACTATAGCACAGATAGACTGTTTCCGGATGACCCATGGTGAAAATCGTGTTAAGAATTGCATGGATTGACTGTTACTTCATAACAAAGAAGCGCATACAGTTTAGTAAGACATTTTGCTTTATTCCATCATTTTCTCAAGCCAAAAAATAGTGAGTCTTTGATTCCATTGCAAATGATGGAAAAAGGTGTTCTAAATCTCGGTCTTCCAAATTCTTACTTTTTCATTCAGGAGTTTGTTCTTACGAGCCCAGGAACTAAATGATCTAACTAGAAGAAAACATCACTCTTTATAACGAATTCAACATTCTCTTCAGCATCGTATTGGTAGTTAGATATATTCCATGCAAAGTATGAATCTTTTTCTCTCGGAGTGTTTTCTAGAGATTTTTTAGATGAACTCTAGATGGGTCGACTCATCACTCATCTATATATATATATCTGTATCTGTATCTGTACCTCTATCTGTACATGTATCTATATCTATATTATTAAGTGAACTAAGTGTGTTTCCCGCTCAATGTTTAGGGATATTTCTGTAACTACACGTACATGACATTTCTTCTTTTGTGTACGGCATCTATGCAGTCTTACAAGCTTTCTCTACCTCTTCTTTATCTCCTACTTCTTGCCTCCTTCCCACTCATTCAAGACTGAAGTATTATTTATCATATCGAACGAGAAACCTGTTCTTATCTATTAAAACCGACGAATTTTCACTTCCTTCTGGTCATGGATCTCATATACTTGCAAGGATTTCAGATTTATTCGACATCAACTATTTCAATTTTCTTCTACAAACAGTGGCGGAACCAGCTCGAGGAGCTTGCAGGGGCTACTTTGGCAATTCTTCTTCTTCTTCTTCTTCTTCTTCTTCTTCTTCTTCGTCTTCTTCTTCTACTTCTCCTCCTCCTCCTCCTCCTCCTTCTTCTTCTCCTTCTTCTTCATGAAGATGACATTAACGAATGTATAAAACATTGCAGTCTCTTCTTCTTTTACTTTATAAAAAATGTCATGTTTATCACGAGAATGTCAGTATTACTCTGAAAATGTCAAGTTTTGCTTCAAATGTTCAATAAAATTGTAAAGAAAGACTGTCATGAAGATGACATTTACAAATGTATAAAACATGACAGTCTCTCATTCTTTTACTTTATAAAAAATGTCATGTTTATCAACAGAATGTCATTATTACTCTGAAAATGTCAAGTTTTGCTTCAAATGTTCAATAAAGATGTAAAGTAAAACTGTCATGAAGATGACATTTACAAATGTATAAACATGGCGGTTTCTCCTTTTACTTTATAAAAAATGTCAAGTTTATCACGAGAATGTCATTATTACTCTGAAAATGTCAAGTTTTTGCTTCAAATGTTTAATAAAGATGTAAAATAAATCTTTCATCTTGATCATTGTGATGTCATAACAGTAACATTACTTTGAAATTAGTGTTTAAATAAAACAACTATGATGACATCCAAAAGAAATAATTTAGACATCCAAAGAAAGAAGAAAAACAAAAAAACATGGAAGAAGAAAACACATGAGATGCAGGAGAAGGAGCTTACCTGGGCATGTAGCAGCAGAGCTATTATCGTCGACTACATTCTTCACACCCATCATCGTCGTACAAATTAATCGTTGTTGGGAAGAAAATGAGGCAACGCGTAAATCAAGGGCAATTTTGCGATTCCATTCTATTTTTAGTCGTATCTAATTAAACGGAAAACTAATGGTCCTACTTTTGCATTTTTGACAAGTTTTAATCTTATTTAGGTAAATGACTCTGCACTATAGCCCCTTCTCTTTCTGCTGGGTGTGTATCGTTTTTGTATAGATACATGCGAAATCGGTCAAAAGTTCTAGTCGGTCTAGATTCTTAATCATCATCATCATCACCTATTTCTTTTTTCTATTTCAATCCTAAATCTTTTTTCTTGCCCCTTCCTTTCTTTATTGCTGTGTTTCCTCCTGCTAGGCCCGTATTCAGAGCATAGTAACTGTTTTTTCTCGCTTCTTTCTTCCGTTTTGTGATCTGCGTGAGCGAGCTTTACTAGTGGGTAAGTGGGTTGGTTCTTAGAAGTTAGATATGGGGGGTTTGAGAAAAGCTGTGCTTTAGTCTATGCATTCTAGAATTGGAGTGCTATATCGTGCTCTTGTAGAATGCGGGTGTTCAGATTCTTTGGATTATTATCACGGCTGCGTGTTAATTGTTGTGAATTTTAAGATTCCTCCAATTGTAGCTATTTAGGATTTCTGGGCATGGCCATGTTTCTGTTATGGTCGGCTAGATTTTGATTGGATTTCCCTGATGGCTTTGCATTGAGGAGAAATCGCGATCAAGATTGAGAACATGGCTTTCTTGGAAGATTGCCCAGATAAGAATCTGGATTGCTTAACCAGATCACGGGAATCCGATTGTGGAAAGGGGAAGTTAATCCAGAAGGCACCGGACGATGTTGCTGATCTGTTGCCCCGTGATCCGTTTGATATGGACATTGACACAACTGTGACTGAACTCTCCAGCATAACCGGTTGGATTGAGGATATCGAGAGGGACTTAGGTTTTATTGGGGTGGGGCAAGTAGATAATCAGTTATTTTCCGGCCACCTGTTTTTGGACTGTAATATGGAGGAGATTATGGATTTCAGTTACGAAAAATATTGGATTTTGGACGACAGCAACTGCGAATCCTTCAAGAATCAGTGGGGATTCTCTGGGACAGTTTTTGAGGGCGAAGGATTTGATGATCCCCCAGATGCTTTGTTTCTTGCTCTTTCTTATTTAGGCGTTGATGACCTTCTTTCTATGGAGCAAGTTTGCAGATCTTTGTGCTGTATAGTGCAAAACGATCCGCTCATATGGAGAGATATAAAGATAGATCATCCTTTGAGTGATAAGATCACAGATGACGCTTTATTGCAGTTGGCAAACAGGGCCAAGGGACAGCTTTGTTGTTTGAGTCTTGTGGAGTGTTTGAAGATCACGGATGGTGGTTTGAAGAATGTTCTTGAAAGGAATAAAAGACTGACAAAGGTCAGTCGCTGCGCATATATGATGTTCTTACTTTTATGCTTTTGCATCTGTGTGCTTTGGGTGGTCATGTTGATACAAATGTTTGCATGCATGATACGTTGTAATGAAGTCCTCAACAATATATTGCTATTCTTTTACATAGAAAGTTCATTTATATATGCATGTATGTATGGATGTATGTATCATTCGTGAAAAACTGAAAACTATTGAGAGCTTGGATAACTTAATTGATATGAAAAAACTAAAAATGATAATGAAAGTTGTTTTTTATGTTTGGTTTTAACATTGTAAAATTTGAAGGATAATGAAATAGGACTAAATTTTGTTACATATATTTATATTTATGTTTATAATTTTAGAACATTGATGAGAGTATATGAGTATATGACAATGTGCGATAGTTAATTATTGGCTTCAAAGTTCTGGCTTTCAGCATTCTTTATTGTTTATTTGCTTAATCGTAGTTTCAATTTAGTGCACAATGTATTTGTTATACTACTCATTATATAGATGCAAAAAATACTACGGAGTAGATAAGTAGGATTTGTTGATTCTAGATACTAATAGACGTATGCTTGTCACTTGTCAACTTTTTAGAAAATTAGTGATCACCCTAAAAATGATAAGTAGGATATGGGAAGAGGAGTATGAGTGCATTGAATGTGATTAGCAGTTAGAGTGCTAATTTTTGGTGTGCCATTTTTTTATGTGGCTGTACTGGGAAAGGTTAATTTTATAATTACTACTAGTTTAATCTTAAATGAAAAATAGCAGTCTTTTGTAGAAGTTAAGCACTTAATGAAGTGATTCATTTTGTGGGGTAAACACTGTTTTCCTGCACTAACACGTTTCATCCCCTGCAGCTAAGTGTAGCGGGATGCATGAAGCTTAGTATTGATGAACTGGTGTCTAACTTAAAAGTCTTCAACAAGCGGGACACAGGGATAAAGTGTCTAAGAATTGGTGGACTGTTCGGCATAACAAACCAACACTACGAAGACTTGAAGCTGCTTTTAGGCATGATGGAAAACACCACCCAACCTCCAAGTGTGGACCGCAAGCCGCGATTTTACCGAGGGGGGCAGTTGTATCTGTCTGTTGATGATGACTGGGCCATTGACATTGAGATGTGCCCGAAGTGCCAGCAACTAAGGCTAGTCTATGATTGCCCCGCAGAGAGCTGCCAAGGGACCACCCACCAAGGCACGCAGATGTGCAGGGCTTGCACTTTCTGCATCTCCCGGTGTAAAAGCTGTGGGTGCTGCTTGAGCAACTGTAATTATGAAGAGACCTTCTGTTTGGAGAACCGTTGTTCGGACTGTATCAAGAAGTTTTTGCCCAAGCACCGGTTTTTCCACCCACAGGCGAGCTGTCGTTTCTTTCTATGTGGCTAGAAGATGTTGTTCCACCATCTTGTTTTTATTCTGGTTATTGCTCTGCGTGCATGGCTGGCTGGCTTGGAGCCTTGTTAAGCAGTTGCCTCTTATGGATGGAAGGCCTGAAGGGTAGGAGTGGTAAAAAAAACTGTTCACATTGCCAGTTGCATTGGGATGGCACGAAAAGACATAGAGCGGAGTTGTGATTTGGATGCATGAGTCCAGGCGTCCAGCCATTGTTCCAACTAAAAACCCTGAGGCTCTAAGCTCACTTAGCTGTAGGAGGTGCTATCCCTGGCCGTCTCTTTAGAGAGTGAGGATTGCTACAACTTTCAGGGAATTCATGCATGCATGCCTGGAGGAGAGGAGTCTTAAAGTTTTAGTTTGGCTGATGTAGCAGTTAGCATATATGTCCTAGAGAAAATCACTATTTAAAGATATATGTACTAGATCACATTTAGGTTTATATTTGAAATCTACATTATTACACATATTTGATTATTTGTATTCATAATTTTGTTTCCATAGACTTGTGTGATAGGAGAACTTATATGACATAACATAAGGTCATAAAATATCCCCAATCAAGGATCAAAGAAAATAGAATATTGATGATATGATATAAGATTGGTATGTGAATTGTATCTTATTTTTAGAAAGTATGAGAAAGTAGAATTGATCTCATGAATATGAATTCTAGCATTTCGTAATGGCCACAAATATTTTGGAGAAACTATTTGTAAGGAATAAATTGTATTTAAATTTTGATGATGCTAGTCTAATCAGTATATTAGAGTACCCCTTTAGAAAATTGTATTAGAAAATTTTCTATTGTAAGTACTAAGGGTATTCGACGGAGAAAATTTTCTATTGTAAGTACTAAGGGTATTCGACGGACAAGAACTGACAAAGTCTTCTACCTCGCCTTATGGACAGAACTGCTCAGAGACACGATGACTTAGTCCTATACAGAAGTGCTCCAAGAACTGTTAATCCTTAGAAGTTCTACCAAAGCCGTTGTTTAACGGGAAATTCCCTAACGGCTAGGAGCCTCTCAACGGAAGTGCTACTGTTCAATGCATTAAATGCTCATTTAATGTCTTCCACTCGTTGAGATATTTATAGCGCAGGATTGATCGAAGAATCCAGGAAAATATTATTTAATACTCCCAAAATAGTAAGTTGTCGAGTTCGTGGGAACTAACCAGTCAAATCAACAGTGCACGCATTTAATGAAGATGTTCTCTACACTCCAACGGAAAGACATCTTTCAGTCTAGAGTGTGTTTGTAAGGCTACCCAACCAGAATACCTATTCGCTACAGGTCAGTTCTGTTGAAGAACTTGACCAACTCTGTGACACTTAAGCGTTGTCTCAGAAAGAATTTTAAAAAGCCAGAACAGTCTATTCACCCCCCTCTAGACTGTTTCTTGTAGAACCGGGACCAACACTATTTGGTATGTCTATTCATGTGTTTATGGAAGTATTGCTCTATAGAGTAGTGCAACAGTCTTCTGACTTGAGGTCAATACGTATTTTATGTGTGGAGTAACACATTTTGACCATTACCAACATTTGCACTCCAATAAGGGGAGACACAATATGTGTTGAGTGCATGACGAATCACATGAAGTAGTAGTTGAGCCAGTAAAGTATTCATTTTTCAGTAGTGTTGAGTGCATGACGAATCACATGAAGTAGTAGTTGAACCAGTAAAGTACTTAGAGAGTACATTCTACTTCTTATATGTAGTTAAATATCTAGTTTGGTTATAAAATTATTGGTCAGTGCAAATATATATTTATTTTGGATTTCAAATATGATCATTATAGATCAACTTGAACCGATGAAAGAAAGAAACTAAGTTATTAGAATAGACACTACATCAAATTCTAGAATTAGAGCATATTTTGTAGGCATAAGTCTTTATCTTCTAGCTTTTGTACTATTAGAAAAAACTTTAAAAGTTTCTATTGTATGTTTGGCAAACTATTTTTTCAGAGCTTTTTTATTATTATTATAAATAAACGATCTTTTTTGAGATGATACAGTAAATAACATTTGAGAAAAGTTTGTATCTTTTAGAATTAGTCCCAACAACTTGTACATCAAATAGAACTAAATCAAATTGTAAATTTTTTATCAAACAGCTATCACATTTTTTCTTTTGAAATCTTTTTAGTCACTAAAGCCCAACAATAAATAAAAAAATTATAAAAGTATCTTTTGAGCTAGTTGTGTCAAACACTCTTAGTTGAATGTTCAGAATGAAAGTGTGTAATGGTGTAGCACTATGATCTCTATGTTAAAGGCAATTTGTGTAATCCTCGCAAACGCCATTATACATATTAATTTTGTATGGTAACCTGTCTAGGGTTTTTGCTAAAACTTTAATTTGATTAGTGATTAATATTGAAGGCCTATGGGACACACAACAAATGATTTTTTTAAACGAAAAGGTGAATATTATATCTTCCAGTTGAATTGTTAGAAGAAATTAAATATTAATTGTAACGCCCCTCACTGGGTTAAAGGAAACGTTACATAAACTTACTACTTTAAAAAAACTGTAATATAATGGCCGTTTGTTTGAGAAGTAACCCTGATAAAATCTCAAATATAACTAAAATATCACTCCAAATAAAAACTCAATAAAATCTAGTTATCACCAGCAAATGTGATAACCACCTGGATCCAGGAATTTATTCAAACTTCAAATCCTCAAATAAATTAATTAAGGCTAAAGGGTCAAATATGCCCTTGTACCTTTCCGGATTGTTCAATTTGCCCCCCGAACTCAAAAAAGCTCCAATTGGCACCCTGAACTCCATAAAAAGATTCAAATTTTACTTTTTGCAGGTCACAAGCCGGTCACCGCCACATCACCCGGTAGGGTGTCAACTGTGCATGTGACATGACAACTTAGGGGGTCAAATAAGCCCCTGAACCCGACTGAAATGTTCAATTTACCCCCTCAACCGTTAAAATTGTTTTGACATTTTTTAGGGTTGAGGGGGTAAATTGAACGATTCGATCGGGTTCAGGGGCTTATTTGACCCCCTAAGTTGCCACGTCACATGCACAGTTGGCACCCTACCGGGGTGACGTGGCGGTGACCGGATTGACACCTGCAAAAAGTGAAATTTGAATATTTTTATCGAGTTCAGGGTGCCAATTGAAGCTTTTATGGGTTGAGGGGGCAAATTGAGCAATCCGAAAGGGTACAAGGACCTATTTGACCCTTTAGCCATTAATTAATAATAATCTCTTTATTGTAACAATTGAAATACTAAAATAAAATAATAACTAGCTAGAAGCCGCCAAGGTCGTTCCCGTTAACTCATCTTGGCACGCGTTCCACTCCCTCGTCATCTTCCTAGGTCTTGGCCTTACTCTTAGTATCTGTACATGCGAAGAAAGAAATTGATTAGCTTTACGCTTAGTAAGTCACTATGGATCCACAAAAGTATTTAGAAGTCTATGTCAATTTATCAATAGATAAATTTAGACTATAAACATGCACCTAACAAATGCTTCACAAATAACTTCTCAAATAGCTTCTGAAAGAGATCTCAAAAGAAATACTTTCTCAAAACATTTCCGTAAAAACTTTCCGAAAGAGATCTTATAAACTTTCTATAAAACTCTTTGTGGTAAATTTTAACTCCGTGGGCCCGTGATATGTACTCAAAGGCGCCAATCCGACAGCTCAGGGGAGCGACCCACTAAACATATCGGATTCTCTGAAACTGATAACTGGTAACTCTGTGGGAGCTAGTCATGGACTCGGGCCGGGTCGGGCCCGGGCCGGGCCACCGGTTTGTATCATATGGGCCTGGGACCGGCCCAAGGGTTGGACGGGTCCGGTTCGGGCCGGGCCACCCGCCCGGGTCACGGGTCGGGCCACCCGCCGGGCCAGACCGGGCGGGTTAAAGATTTTTTTTGTTTTTATAATTTATATTTTATACTTTATAGTTTTATACAAGTATTAAAAACAAACTTCAAGTGCATTTATTTGAAATGAAATAGGAACTACATTTGAAAATTAAATAGGAACTACAATTGAGAATTGAAGGTAAAATTAAAACATGAAATACTAATCAATCATTCAATCGGAATCTCCGGCATAGGTAGAGTCACCCTCGGTTGTAGATTCACCCATAAAGTGTTGGGATGGGGTGATGTCAATTTCTTGAGCTCTACGGGCTGCTTTCAACCAATCGTGGTAGCATATAAGCATCTCAAGAGATTCTGCGCTCAACCTCGTTCTGGTTTGCGTTAGGACATTGCCGGCCGAACTAAATTCTTGTTCCACGGCAACCGTTGAAACCGGCATTGATAGCACTTGCTTAGTCATCTTTGCTAAAACTGGGACCATTCTTTCTTTTCCCTTCCACCAGTTTAGTACGTCAAAATCATCATCTTCTTCAAAATCAACATCATATGTTAAATACAAAGAAATCTCATTAATTGTGCTTTGTTGTGTAACGGGAGTTGATTTCGTTTTTTTAATAAGATTGGAAAATGTAGATTTGAAAATTGATTTTCCTTTAGATGATGTTTGTGTCGGGGGAGGGGGCGCATTGCCATATTGTTCATGAAAGTAATTGAATAATGCATAAAATATATCACTAACCTCGTTGTATTCTTTTTTCGAATCAATTGGGTTGTCCTCATACATTGGCAATGGACCAAAAAAAGCAGCATAATAATAATTCAAACATTCTTCTAAAGAACCAAGTCTAAAACGAGGATCGAGAACAAATGCAATACCATAAATATGCGGAATATGTGAATAATATTTTAAAAACTTTTCCTTCATGAAACCAGTAAAATAACTCACATAATCAGTATTCTCAAAATTTGAAAAAGCACCGGCGAGATTAACAGCTTCACGAATAAATTGGTTTGAGGTAGGTTTATAAACATGACTAAAAGTTTCAGTTGCATTATTAAAATATATCAAAGCATTACAAATTTTTTCACAGGTGTCAATCTCAGCCGGGTTTATAATATAGTTATCATATTGTTTCATAAAAGCAAGAAAATGTTGTTTATATCTAAGAAGAACTCCAATTAACTTATAGGTACTATTCCAACGAATAGACAAATCTTTAAGAAAAGCCACATACCTCTCACCTATTTCTATCAAATAATCATGTCATTTTTTCCTAAGTTGTCCATTACCCCAAATACGTCTAATCCCCCCTTGACTACCTCCAACGATGCTCCCAACGCATTTAGACCATCTTGCACACATAAATTTAGAACATGACATGCACATCGTTGATGAAAAAATCTACCCATCAAAGAAATAGAACCACACAATTCACGCAATCTAGGAATTGCAGCAGTATTATTAGTAGCATTATCAAAACCAATAGCAAACACCTTATCAATTAAATTATACTCAATTAAAATACGTTCAATCAAAATATAAATATGTTCAGCGGTGTGACGATCATTAAATTCACGGAAAGCAAGAATACGTTTATGCATATGCCAATCATTATCAATATAATGTACAGTCAGACCCAAATAATGTAAATTATGATAAGTATCCTCCCATATGTCAGAACATACAGTAACACGTCCATCAAAGTTTGCAAACTAATTTTGTAACCTTACCTTTTCCGCACCATAAAGCCTTGAAATTTCTTTCTTAACCGTTTTGCGACTATAACCTCTATATTACGGATTTAAACAAGTTTGTGCATAATCACGAAAAGCAAGACTTTCAGAAAACAAATAAGGAAAATTTTCTTCAACAAGTAAGTTAGCCATACCAGTCAAATTTTGTGCATCATTGTATGAGAAATTACCAAAAGCTTGTTAGTTATTTGCAAACCTCGATATTTGAGTTTGCTTCCCCGTTCCGCCGCCTAATTTTGCATACTCCACCGGGTGTTTGGACTTAAGGTGTCTTGTGGCGGATTCGTATCCGCCGGAAATCCCCAAGCTATAGTTTTTCTTGCACCAATTGCAAGTTGCGGTCCAATTCCCGGTGTTTGAGTCCTTCCACTTAGAAAAATTATTAGCCATTAGTTCAGATTTACTTTTTTTGTACCTGTTTGGGATGAGGCAGGCTGGTCGGCGTCATGGCTGCCGCCACCCTCCTCCTCCTCCTCCTCCTCGTCGTGGCTCTCCGGAATTACTTCCTCCACATCGTCGTCCTCGTCCTCGAGCTCTTCTTCGTTAATGGTCCTCGGTTGGTCTTGAAAAAAACGGGAATTATGTCGGTGCAATTCTTGTTCTAGTTGTTCGTCGGTCATCGCATCCCCATCCCTCCTTGCGGGATCTCTTCCTCGCAAGCTTTTTCGTTCGGTTGCGCTCGAGGTTACCCATATCAACCAAATATCTAGGACGATCCATCTAAAAAATGTAGCGATTAATAAAAAATTGTAATAAAGTAATTAACTATTAATCTAACTATTAATTCGAGATATAGCAAATTAGTATTTTAAAGTTTACTTTAATCAAATTAACTAGTGAATTAACTAGTTTTGTGTACAACCTATTTTTTTACTAACAATGAAATTAATACACTTTAACTTTAACTATAATTAGAATTACAACTAGTTTTTTAAACTAGAGTCAAATGTAGCAATTAATAAAAAATTGTAATAATGTAATTAACTATTAATATAACTATTAATTCGAGTTATAGCAAATTAGTATTTTAAAGTTTACTTTAATCAAATTAACTAGTGAATTAACTAGTTTTGTGTACAAACTATTTTTTTTTACTAACAATGAAATTAATACACTTTAACTTTAACTATAATTAGAATTACAATTAGTTTTTTAAACTAGAGTCAAATGTAGCAATTAATAAAAAATTGTAATAAAGTAATTAACTATTAATCTAACTATTAATTCGAGTTATAGCAAATTAGTATTTTAACTTTAACTATAATTAGAATTACAACTAGTTTTTTGTACAACCTATTTTTTTACTAACAATCAAATTATTATAGTTTAACTTTAACTATTATGAGAATTAACTAGTTTTTTTTTCAAGTAACGTTAATACAAAATTAAACAAGTGTAAATAATAGAATAATTTCGTACCTCTTTCGGACTTTCGGTCTTTCGGATGGGAGTAATAGAATGACTTCAAATTAATTAGATATAATTCCAACTATATTAATAGATATAATAAATGTATAAGTAATATATAATTAGATAACAAATATAAGTAATATAATATTATAATGTATGTATTTATAAATTATAAGTAGATAATTAATATAAAGTAGATATATAAATAATAAATATAATATATTGGAAAATAAGAGAATTAGAGAGTAGAGAGTTAAGAATAGGATTTAGGAAGAATTGGAGAAGAGATATGAAAAAATGTTTAAGATTAGGAGTATTTATAGGTTTTTTTACCCCCACCCCCACCCCCCACCCCCACCCCCCCCAAACCCCCCGGACCCCCCTGCACCCCACCCAACGGCTATATAGCCATTTGGGTTGTCCCCAGCCCACCCCAAAGCCATAACGGCTAGGTTGGGCAAAACAAAAATTTTTTTTAAAAAAAAATGGACCGTTGGACCCGGGCCCGCCCCGGCCGGGCCGGGTCACCTTTTTCCTGAACCGTGCCAGCCCCGCTCATCCCCACCGGTTCGGGTCTACACCCGGTCCCGGACCGCCAGACCGGGCCGGTCCCAGGCCCGCACAGTAGCGGGCCGGGCCGGGTCACGGGTCAGGTGGCCCGAACCGAATCCACCCCTAGTGGGAACTTGTTCCTGAGTACATATCACTTAATCTTTCACTTTAAGTATTGGTTATTTTTATGGTGACGTTTGGATAAAAACATCATTAAAATCTTGAAATAAAGTACTGACATAATCTTGACTATGCCAGATAATAAACATAACTTAATCCAACAATTTAACTAACTCATCGAATAGTTCACTAAGCTCACATAATAGTAAATAGTCTAAAATCATCTAATAAAATCAACCAGACTTCTTCCTTTGATTTGGTTGAACAAACATGTGCAGGTGGTAGTGAACTTACCTGTCAAAAGCTGAACTTAAATTACTCAGATGTGTGGCACCGTGACAAACTGACAATGTCCTCCAATAAGCTCTTCTCTTATATCTTTAGTTATAGAATAATATAAAGTAAGAATTTTCCAAAGTGCAACTGAAGTATGTAAGCGAAATTACATATTCTACTGTTATGTTCTAAACATGAAGACTATAATAGTCTATTTTTTATCTTAATCCGAAATAGATCTGATTTACCAATGAAAAACTCTCTTAGTCCTCATACATTAGCCTACTCATACGTGCAAAACTTTTAAGTGCTAAAACAAAACTCCAATTGATGAAATATAACTGCAGCAGAAGACAAATTGAAGAGTGACTGTCAATTCTAGCAGCCACCTGACTTAGAATAAAAAAAATATTACCATCCGATTGAAAAAATAAACCAATTGTGCAGCAGGAGTACAGACCAGAGTTATCACTTTATGATTAACCTAACGACATGTAGAAATTTATTAAAATGAATTTGAAGGCATATAACTAATCACTCCCAAAATAGCTCTCTTAATTATAAAATAAAGTAGAAAACTCATTTACGAACATCTATACTCACATAGATAGAGAAAACGATTACTTAGCAAAGAAATAAATATACTTGATCAAGGATGTTATCATCTGAATAAAGCTTAGTGGAAGAATTGAACTTACCGGAAGTGAAATAGGGATTTGAAATCCAGAGAGAAATTATTTGATGAATGAATTTAGGAAAAACTGTTTTGAGTAGATGGGAGAAATGGGTCAGCGGCTGCAAAGAGGAGGAACATAGTGTCTGGAAATTTTCTTAGGGTTGATATATATACTTAGGTATACCTTTTGTTGACTTCTCAAGGCTTTTAATAAAATACTTATTTCACCAAGTTAACTTATTTGGGTCTTTACATACTATGCAACATGTCTCATGCCCAACTAAACAAAATGAAGTTAATCTCTTAAAAAAAACTAGTTAAACTTTAGAACCTTAATTATTTCTTTACATAAAATTGTTAGAGTTTACCGGTCAATATTATCTGCCACAAAAAACATGTTAAATAATATGCCACATTATTCATAGAAGAACTTATATAATTGGCTAAAATTAATAATGACTAATATAACTAGCTCATAAAAATTGGGGTGTTACAACCTCTCCCACCTTATAAAAGTTTCGTCCTCAAAACTTAGAACAAGTCGTGATAATGACGCCTCATGTCGTCCTCAACTTCCCAAGTAGCCTCTTCCACTTTGTGATTTCGCCACAACACTTTTACTAGAGTTATCTCTTTATTCCGGAGACGTCTAACCTCTCGGTCAAGGATTTGTACCGGCTTCTCCTCGTATGACAAATCTTTTTGCACTTCTACCGTTGGGGTATCAAAACATGCTCCGGATCAGCAAAGTATTTCCTGAACAAAGAAACATGGAAGACATTATGAATGCCAGAAAACTCTTCAGGTAGCGCGAGCTCATAAGCTACCTTCCCAACTCGTCTGGTGATTTCATATGGTCCGGTGAATCTGGGGCTAAGCTTTCCTTTCTTTCCAAACCGCATCACACCCTTCATCGGGGTTACCTTAACGAAAACAAAGTCCCCCACTTCGAATTCTAGAGGTCTCCTCCGAACATCTGCATAGCTTTTCTGTCTGCTTTGCGCAGATTCTATCCTTTGCCTGATAGTCTTAATAGCTTCTGAGGTCTCATCTATCAACCCAGTCCTTCCTTGTAATTCTTCTTCTACAACTTTGTTTTCTCATGTTTCATACCATGATATGGGCGATCTACACCTCCTCCCATACAACGCCTCATATGGGGCCATGCTGATGGTTGCTTGATAACTATTATTATAGGCAAACTCTATCAAACTAAGGTATTTTTTCCATCCTCCTTTAAAATCTAGAGCGCATGCCCTTAACATATCCTCTAAAATCTGATTTGTTCTCTCTGTCTGGCCATCTGTCTGAGGAAAAGCGGTACTAAACCTCAACTTTGTGCCCAATGATTGTTGTACGCTCCTCCAAAAGTGAGACGTAAATCTGGAATCTCTGTCAGAAATAATTAGGGGTGGGCGCGGTTCGGGACGGTCCTAGATTTGGCTTATCTCGATCCCGATCCGTTTTTATAGTAACGATCCGATACGGTTCGGGATAAGTCTTTATCCCAGTGTTATCCCATTTAAAACGGGACCGGGACGACCCGAGAAAAATCGGGATGGTTCGGGACGTCCCATAAAATATACATTTGTGAAATGTGATAAAAATAAGCATAACATCAAAATAAAGACGTAACTATTTTTTACAAATTTAGCTTCTCTAAAAAGTTAAGTAAAACCTCTAATTAACTATTTTTAATTATTGTCTTGTAATTTTTTTGGTCCCCCCTAATTTTGTGTTTCCTCTAGTAGTAGAATAGTAGTACAAAATATTTTTATAGTTTGTAGTACACTTGTAATTTTTCAATACCACATTAAAATAAATATCATATCTATTAAGACCATATATATATATTTTCTAATAGTTATTTTGGAAAATATTAAATGTATAACAACACTATAGAGTAGCATCGGAATGAGAACTAAACAAATTTTAATCAAAAGAAACAAAAGAAATGAGACTAAGAGAGACACGAAATAAGATAAAATAAAACTAGGGAGACTAAGGGCTAAAAAATTGTAATTGATTTTGGCTATTATATAGTATTAGAAATTTAAAATATCTACTAATTTTAAACGGGACACCGGGACGGGACATGATATTTTATAGCTATCCCGGTCCCATCCCGGTTAATATCTGTACGGGACCGGTTCGGAATGAAAAAATTGCATCCTAAATGAACCGGGATAGTTTCGGAACGGTATCGGGGTTTTTCGGTTTGGGATACCGGGTCCGGGATTTTGCCCACCCCTAGAAATAATACTCTTCGAAATACCATGCAATCTAACAATCTCCTGTATATATATATTCTTGCCAACTTCTCCAAAGAAATACTCGTTGAAATTGGGATAAAATGAGCAGATTTAGTCGATCTGTCCACTATAACCCGTATAACATCATAACCTCCAGTTGTCTTCGACAAACCCATAATAAAATCCATTGATATCTCATCCCATTTCCACTCTCGAATGTGGATAGGCTGAAGTTCTCCACCTGGTCTTTGATGTTCAGCCTTAACTTGTTGACACATCAAACATGATCGAACAAACTTTACAACATCTTTCTTCATCCCTAACCACCAAAAGTTTTTCTTCAAGTCGTTGTACATCTTGGCCGAACCAGGATGCATAGTAATAGGTGTATTATGAGGCTCCTTCATAATCTGCTTCTTCAACCCCTCAATGTCAGGGATGCAAAACCAATTTTGGAGTAATAATCTCTCACTCTCATCCAAACGAAACTCAGGACATTTTCCCTCCTTGATGCACTCCTTCAATTAAACCAACTCAGGATCAAGTTCTTGCTTCATAGCCATGTCTTCAAATATTGATGGAGTCATTGTCATAGCTGCTAGTCGCCCATCTACAATCTCCAGCTTAAAATCTTAAATTTCCTTCCCCAGCCATGGATCCAGTACCATCATGGACATTAATGTTGCAGAAGACTTCCTACTAAGTGCATCTTCTACCTTGTTGGCTTTCCCCGGATGATAAAGGATCCCACAATCGTAGTCTTTCACTAGCTCAAGCCACCTTCTTTGCCTCATGTTGAGGTTCTTCTGTGTGAATATGTATTTCACACTTTTATGATCAGTGAAGATCTTGCACTGGACTCCATACAAGTAATGTCTCCAAATCTTCAACGCATGTATCACCGCTACCAACTCCAAGTCATGGGTAGGATAATTCGCTTCATAGTCCTCGAGTTGCCAATAAGCGTAAGCAATTACTCGTTCATTCTGCAGAAGAACTGCTCCAAGTCCCATCTTCAATTCGATGCGTCTGTGTAGATAACAAACCCTTCCTTGCCTTCTGGGAGTGTTAAAACGGGTGCAAATGTCAACCTATTTTTAAGCTCTTGGAAACTCTTCTCACAACGATCAGTCCATTCAAATTTCTAACCCTTACGGGTCAAGGTAGTCAATGGAAGAGCTATAGCAGAGAAGCCTTCCACAAACTTCCTATAATACTCCACAAGGCCCAAGAAACTTCGAACTTCTCTCGCATTCTTCGAACTGTTCCAATCTCAGACAGCCGCTACTTTTGAGGGATCCATCGAAACTCCCTACTTTGAAACTACGTGGCCAATGAATATTACATGATCAAACCAGAACTCACACTTTGAAAACTTAGCATATAGCTTATGTTTTCTAAGTGTCTCCAGTACTTCTCTTAAGTGTTTTTCGAGCTCCTCCTTAGACTTTGAGTAAATCAAAATATCATCAATGAAAACAATGACAAACTTGTCAACAAACTCCCTAAACACTCTATTCATCAAATCCATGAAGGCCGCTGGAACATTAGTTAGGCCGAAAGGCATAACCACAAATTCATAGTGTCCATACCGCGACCTGAAAGCTGTTTTTGGGATATCTCCTTCCTTGATTATTAGCTGATGATACCCTGAACGAAGGTCAATCTTGGAGAAAATCACCGCTCCCTTCAACTGGTCAAACATGTCATCAATTCTAGGCAGGGGATACCTATTCTTGATAGTCACTTTATTGAGCTCTCTATAATCTATGCACAACCTCATTGTGCCATCCTTCTTCTTCACGAACAATACTGGAGCTCCCCACGGTGAATAACTGAGCGGAACAACATCCTTCTCTAGCAACTCTTGCAACTGCTTGTGGAGTTCTTGTAACTCCGCTGGTGCCATTCTATATTGAGCTCTAGATATTGGGGCAGTACCAGGCAGCAGTTCAATCTCGAACTCAATCTCTCTACTTGGTGGTAAACCTGGAAGGTCTTCGGGGAATACATCACTGTAATCCTCCACAATTGGGAACTTCAAATAACTGAATGGTTTTTCCAGTGCTCTTGTCTACTATGTGAGCTAAGAAAGCTTCACATCCACACCGAATAAGTCTCCTTGCTTGCAATGCAAAAATCATTACCATCCCTGATCCTTTTGGCTCCGCAAGGAAAAAGAAAGGATCAGACCCTGTAAGCGCAAAACTAATACAATTCTTTTTCGACATATAATTGAAGAAGCACTATACTTCTGTAGAAAATCCATGCCGAGAATCACATCATAATCCCTCATGTCGAGCACGATCAGATCCACAAATAACTCTCTCCTTGCTATACTCATTGGCACTGGTCGTAACCAATGAGTCGACAACATGATCTCTCCCGACGGAAGTGTTGTGGTGAACTTATAATCTAACTTATCTTGTTGTGTTGCTAAGGATCTAGCAAACTTAAGAGATACGAAGGAATGTGTGGCTCCGGCGTCAAATAGTACTGATGGATCACCGGACCGGGGTAGTCTGAATCCAAGTAAAAATGAGAGAGCGTACTGTTTGGAAAACACAGGTATGCAATCCGGCAGAATAACAGTGTGAGTATTGAGAATGTGATCCCTTTCCACAAGTTGGAAGGTGATATTTATGCTAGGAGATAAAAGGAAATACTTGGTGCCCAAGTAAAAAGATACTGATCAAATGGGGAGGAGACACATGTAAAACTATTCTAACAAACTATCAGTCTAATTCGATGGGGAGCAGTCATGTGTAAAGGTGATTGGAGAGATAGTCTTGGACAGGTGGCTGATTGGAATCATCTCTAACAACTGCTAACAGA